TTGGGAGGCAGAAACAGGAGGATTGCTTGAGTCTGAGACCAGCCTGAGTGACAGAGCAAGACCATGTCTCTACAAAGAAAACTTAAATATAGCCAGACATGATAGGGCATGCCTGTAGTCCCAGCTACTTGGCAACCTGTGGCAGGAGGATCGCTTGAGCCCAGGAGTTTGAAGTTGTAGTGAGCTATGAACTATGACAATGTCTTTGCACTCCAGCCCAGGTGACAGAGCACAATAGTGTCTAAGAAAAAAATAATCTTTATTCCTAAACTTAAAACAAGACAGAGCCCAGAACACAATGGAAAAAAAAATGTCAAAAAATACAAATTCCCAGAAGAGAATATACAAAGCACACGAAAAGATGCTCAGCCTCACTTTTAAGAGAAATGCGAATTTAATTACACTGAACTTTTTTTTTGTTTTACTTATCAGAGTTTGATGACATGCTTACTTGACAAAGGTGTGAGGAAAAAGGCTGGTGGAGCTATAACTAGGTTCAGCCATGGGGGGACAATTCTGCATTATCTATCCAAGTGACAATGTAAAAACCCTTGCAACTAGCACTTTTTTTTTTTTTTCTGAGACTTAGTCTCACTCTATCTCCCTGGGTAGAATGCTATGGAGTCACAGCTCACAGCAACCTCAGGCTCCTAGGTTTGAGCAATCCTCTTGCCCCGGCCTCCTGAGTAGCTGAGACTAAAGCACCTGCCAATGCCTAGCTAGTATTTCTATTTTTAGTAGAGATATGGTCTCATTCTTGCTCAGGCTGGTCTCAAACTCCTGAGTTCAAGCAATCTCCCCACCTCAGCGTCCCAGAGTGCTAGAATTACAAGCGTGAGCCACCACGGCTGGCCACAACCAGTACTTTTATGGTGGGACGTATGTTTAATGTTGCTTGTGATACTCAGGACTTGGGAAACAATGTGGGTGGGAGACAGCGGTGGTAGAGAGATTCTCCACTATATGCTCTTTTGAACCTTTCCACATTTTGTTCTAAAGAAATATATTACCAGCTCGGGGTCTATAGCGCAGTGGTTACGGTGCCAGCAACATGCACCAAGGCTGGCGGGTTCAAACCCAGCCCAGGCCGGCTAAACAATAATTGCAACCAAAAAATAGCCAGGCATTGTGGTGGTTAGTCCCAGCTGCTCAGGAGGCTGAGGCAAGAGAAGCCCAAAAGTTTGAGGTTGCTGTGAGCTATGACACCACAGCACTCTACCCAGTGTGACACAGTAAGACTCTGTCTCCAAAAAAAAATGTATATTTATAACCTATTCAAAAAACATACCGAATTTTAAAATTCAGAAGGTCTTTAAGCCTGAGGTATGGTAGGGAGGGAGACTTTAAAAATAAAGACAAATTATTTAATGGGTACGGAGCCTCAGTTTGAGAGGATGAAACAGTTCTGGTGATGAACCGTGATAACAGCTTGCACGGCAATGTGAATGTACTGATACCACAGAACTCCACACTTAAAAACAGTCAAAATAGTACATTTTATTATGCCTATTTTACCACAAAGACATTATTTGAAACAAAAGCAAGCACATAAGACTGACTCAGGAGACCACATCTGAATATCAGTGCTCAGAATAAAATCAAAGTTGCTAGAACCTGGATCACCTGAAATTTCTAGGATAATCCTGACTGAATATAATGTTATCTTTCTTAACCAAGGGCATTCCTTAAATGTAAAACAAAATTGCAATTTAACTTTGTGGAATTTTTTTAACTTTTTGGATTTAAATGCATTGTAAATTAATATAAAAACATTGCCAATCAAAAAAACAAAAACTTGGCTCGTCGCCTGTGGCTCAAGTGGCTAAGGTGCCAGCCACATACACCTAAGGTGGTGGGTTCGAATCCAGCCCAGGCCCACCAAACAACAATGACGACTGCAACCAAAAAACAGCCAGGTGTTGTGGCGGGCGCCTGTGGTCCCAGCTAGCTGGGAGGCAGAGGCAGAATTGCTTGAACCCAGGAGTTGGAGGTTGCTCTGAGCTGTGATGCCAGAGCACGCTACCCAGGGCAACAGCTTCAGGCTCTGTCTCAAAGAAAAAAACAAAACCTTTATGAGCCTGATTTCTCTCTCCCAGAAAAAGTGATAAAATGATCTTGGTAACAGTTAAATTCAGAATGAAATGACTCTTTATAGGCCATAATGTCTGCTCTCTGTTCTACTAGGGAACTGAAGCAAAACTAGCCCAGATGATCCAAAATAGTGAGTTTAGTCCACAAATGTTACTGAGAGCTAAAGGGTCAGAAGGATCTAGAGCGTGGATCTAGAATGCAAACCTAAAATATGGATAGTATCACATTGCCACAAAATGTATCCAAAGGAGTGCTGGAAAGGCATTCCATCCAGGTCACGACAGATACATGGGGAAGCAAAGTTAAACAACTATTTGCCTTGCAAGTTCATTTCTAGAAAGAGAGCTTTAGCAGCTGGCCTTGACTGAGCCCACAAGAAAATAAGAGGACTCAAGCCTAAAACTTTTTTCTCTCTCTGCATTTCTAAACATGCACACACAAATCCCCCACTGATCAAGAAAAAGCTCAAGTGACCCCTTCTCTGAATTCTAACCTGTTTAATTTTATACAATCATCAATTTAAGTTAAAACCCTTATCATTGCTGACTCCAATCAAACTGCAAATATCTGTATACGTGTCCCCCTGACTATACTGAGCTCCTTGAAGGCAAGGACGATTTTATTCATTTGCTCCCTGATGCCTAACCCTTCCTGGAAATGTAATCTTTACCAAATGGACACCCCCCCAAAAAAAACCAACTATTTTTAGTTCAGTCTAAAATAGCAAATTTCAATTTCTAGCTTAATTACCACTTGCAAATTCAGTGTTTGGAAACTTCTAGTTCCTAGGGGAAAACAACAGCACCTACCTTAAAACCATTCACTTGAGGTCACAGTCCCCTTTTTGCTACTCCTCAGAGAGTCAAAGAGAATAGACGGATACATGTAACAAGACCCAAAAGTAAGTGATTTCACCAGGACCTTCTTCATTTACAAGATGAGTGAGTTGAATAAACCCTAAGCTCTCTGCCCACACTTGATTTGTTGCAGATTCCCATTTTGCCTTTAATGTACTCATTTTCCTGAGCCGCCTCTAGGCCATAGGTGTAGTGCCTGGTATTTCAAAGGTGCTCTGTATTTTTGAATGGATAGGTAACGGGGCTAACCAACTAAACCAGCTGGTTCCTAGTCTGCTATATGCAGTTAACAACTTAGTTGAGATTGAGAGGAGGGCTATAGTATTTTGCAGTATAAATAAATAATCCAAATCATTTCTTATAATAGTAGAGAACTAAGAACCACCTGTTTGGTTATTTACAACATTATTTCTTTTTTTTTTTTTTTTTTTGAGACAGAGCCTCAAGCTGTCCCCCTGGGTAGAGTGCCATGGCATTACAGCTCACAGCAACCTCCAACTCCTGGGCTCAAGCGAGTCTCCTGCCTCCGCCTCCCAAGTAGCTGAGACCACAGGCGCCCGCCACAACGCCCGGCTATTTTTTTGGTTGCAGCCGTCATTGTTGTTTTGGCGGGTCCGGGCTGGGGATTCGAACCCGCCACCTTAGGTGTACGTGGCTGGCGCCTTAGCCAGTTGAGCTATAGGCGCCGAGCCACAACATTATTTCTTAATGCACATGCCAATGTGCACTACTGTCAGAAGGTGGCCTTGTTTGCATGTAGCCTAATTCTACCATAAGGGGAAAAGCTGTACCCGCATAATTTAATCTTCCTCCAAGCCTCTTACCATACCTTCACTTCATACCCCCACCCAATGCTATTTACATTCAGTTTTATGTTATCTAATCATTTCCTCTATAGATATGTGTATAAGTGTGTGTATATACATATATATGTCTTTGTGGGGCAAGGAGAGAGACAGAGACAGACAGACAGGGCCTTACTATATGTTGCTCAGGCTGATCTCAAACTCCTGGACTCAAGTGATCCTCCCACCTCAGCCTCCCAAGTAGCTGAGATGCTGGAACTATAGTTACATACCACCACGCCCAGCATTTCCTGTATATTTTAAGCAGACATACTTTTCACTTACAAGTTCTCCCAAATAGAATTTTTTTCTCTCCTAAAGCTATTCATAGGTCAGCGCCTGTGGCTCAAGTGGCTAAGGCGCCAGCCACATACACCTAAAGTGGTAGGTTCAAATCCAGCCCGGGCCCACCAAAATAACAATGATGGCTGCAACCAAAAAATAGCTGGGCGTTGTGGCAGGCGCCTGTGGTCCCAGCTACATGGGAGGCTGAAGTAGGAGACTCGCTTGAGCCCAGGAGTTGGAGGTTGCTGTGAGCTGTGATGCCACTGGCACTCTACCCAGGGGGACAGTTTGAAGCTCTGTCTCAAAAAAAAATCTATTCATAGAATAAGCACTCAATAAATTCTTGAGGAACTAATTCATTTATCCTGTATTTAAGTCACCTTTTTTTTTTTTAATTTCATATTAACATATTAATATAATCTTGTAATCCTATTACTAGGTTTGTTTGTTTTTTTGAGACTGAGTCTTATTCTGTTGTCCCAGGCTAGAGTGCAGTGGCATCAGCCTAGCTCACAGCAACCTCAAACTCCTGGGTTCAAGAGATCCTCCTGCCTCAGCCTCCTGAATAGCTGGGACTACAGGTACACACCACAACACTTGGTTAAGTTTTCTGTTTTTCTGGGGTTTTTTTGAGACAGAGCCTCAAGGTGTATGTGGCTGGTGCCAAGCCAAGTTTTCTGTTTTTAGTAGAGATGCGTTCTTGCTCTTGCTCAGCCTGGTCTCCAAAGAGCTCCTGAGATCAAGGGGTTTTCCCAGAGTGCTGGGATTACAGGTATGAGGCACCTCACCCAGGCCCAGGTTACCTTTTAGATAAGAGGTGCTAAATGTCAGTGTTTTGCAAGTGTGAGAGGTTGAGTGATCTATAATTCCATTTTTTTCATGGACCCTTCTGAGAAACCAAATGACAAATACCATAACATTAATATAAGAAAATGGTTTTATTCCTAATTTTTAGTTCCATACAGTTTACAAATACACTTTATTCTAATAATACAGCTTTGCAACTAGCAAAGCAGCTGAACTAACACCCATAAATACAGGTGGGGAGACAATTAATATCCACTAATGTTTCTCTACATAAACTATTCTTTTAATGTCATTTTTTAAAAACAACTGCAAATAGACTACATAATATATGTGGGCAAAAAGGCAATTAAGTGAATCTCTTGAAACACTAAATGTATAATAAACAGCATATTATCAACATTTACATGATTCACATCAAAATGATGACATCCTAAAATGTATTCCTTTTAAAGGATAGATTTATCAATAAAATATTACATATTTTTTAATACTCTGGTACAATACTTCTTCATATACTGCAGGAAAATTAATTGTAGGTCTAGTCATCTGCTTAATAAAGAATTCTTTTCCATTAGCTTTTATTAATAAAGAATCACAATTAGGTCATAAATAAACAGGCAAATTATTAATTACATGATTTGAGGTTTAGGATGAAAACTTGTAAGAATTAGTTTGATATACAGCAAAGTTATACAATACACTAAAAACAACTGTCTAATATTTTTGCCTTGTGTGAACTGCCCATAGTGAAAAAGAAATAAACTTTTTAGTGATGGAGAATACAATGAACTATATTTTGGAACTTATTTTTCAAGAGGAAGAAGGAAAAAGATTTCAACAAAATGAAGGGGTAATACAGATCCTAATAAAGGCATCTTGAAATCAGGGAGGCCATGTGCTTGCTATATAAAAAACTTTATTCCCCCAACAACATACAGAAAACAAAAACTGCACTGGGTTTATATTTATGTCTATAGTCTAAGTTTCCTTTATGGATACTAATCTACAACAAAACACTTCACAATTGCATACCTTCCCACATTCCCCTGAACTAGAAATAACTCAAGATGTTGTATTAGTTCTTAAAATCCCCAGTAAAATAACCCCTAAAAATAACCTTGACCATTTTTTTGGCTGTTCCAAAGCAACTGGGCCCTGTAAAGAACGCAGATGCCAAGTCCTATCTATATTTCCTCGTCCCCATTCAGCCACACTTGAAAAGACATTGATTTCAATGGGAGAGACAACTGTAAGTTTCAGAGGGCCACACATTGGACACGAGGTATCTTTTTTATTTTTGTAAAAAAAAGCTAGTAAGACTCTGAAATTTGGCTTTTTTTTTTTTTTGAAAACCCAATACTACATGCCAGATAATTCTCATACCCTAAATATAAAATCCTATGCCTATAATTTTAAAATACTCAGCCAGCTACAGAATATTTAGTGTCTACCAGCAACCTAAAAGTAGACTCATGTGTATCTATCACACCTGTTTCACCCATTACTGACTGCTCTGCCCTGGGCCCCTTCACTTCCTCAAAAACCATCTTCTGGAACTTTCATTTCCACTATTTTTAAAAATCTGTACCTCAATCTCCCCTACCCACCCACCCACCATCCCAGCCCTTCTGCCTGATTCCATTCCACATAAAGTAACCTAATCTGAGAACCTGCAATCGCCTTTTACCAAACACATGACAAACCTTAGCAACCTAGGGACTAATAAATCTTGTCTTGGCGTAAGTTTACATAACAAGATAACAGTTTTCTGACCTTGTGGAGGGAAATCTAAATGAAATCAATGTTCTATAACAAACAAAGCTAGCCAAGATCAGGTATTTCCATCCCAAGTGCAAAAATAACTGATCTTAAGCTACAGGCAGAGGCATTAATGCAGCAGATATATCTGTACAATCAAACCCTTGTATGCTGGTGAAAGACTTTGTCCCCAAAGTCAAGACATTACTACAAAATTGAAGCAAAATGGAGAATGATTCAACATGATAATGCAATAAAAAGAACAAGATTCAAGATACTCATTGTAAATACTGAACTGAAATCTTTCTTTACAGGCTTGTCAGGAAGACAGCAGTCAAGGCATTCCCCTCAGGTAAGACCTCCAGGCCACACCTGTGTTCTGAGCAATTCTAAGTTGAATGAATTTGGGGCAGGTATGATGGGGGTGTTAAAAGTATGTTTTGTCTCTGACCATGGCAGCCACTGAGCTCCAAACTGCTTCAAGGATTCAAGGGACTGCAAGACCTCAGAAAATAACTACCAGGGCCGAATCTAGGCCTTCCTTTCAGGAGCCAAAGCCAGAAAAATCAGAGGAGATCGCAACTTCACAGCAAAGTTGCTGTAGCATTTTATTATTGTTACAAAAAAGTCAACTGAGGATATTTTCATTGAAATATACTCATTGGGTGATGATTCAACACACTAGGCAAAGAAGGATGTCTTCAGAGAAGGCACTTAAGGTAGAACATTAGCAAATCTTACTGCTTGGCTAAAACAAAAATGAGCTAATTCAATCTGGCTGGAGGCCTGTTAGGACGGTTCCTTCTCGCTGTGGTATGACTAAGAACTGGTGGCATTAAGAAAGCGTCACATTTCCCACAGTCTGTGGGTGCTCAATGATGGGGTGGTTCCACTCTCAAAAGCTCTGCCCCCCCTAAACACATGTATCCTGACAAGACCAGTTTTCCCAAGTGCTGCTTCACAAAATATGCTCAGAGCTGGCAGAAATGGTTGATGAAGCTTCTTAAAGGCCCTCTCTTTACTCCTCAGTTTGACTTTCAACTTCTACCACCTATTATAAGCAGCTTCAGCTTCCCAGGGTTTCTACTTTTGCTAATATAGTTGACTTTCCATGGCACTGGCTATAACAATCTATGAGACTGATGCCCTCCCTGCTCCCCACCCCCCACCATGAACTGCGCCTCCACACTCTCATCTTGAATCTTGGCCTGGCATGCCTTGTTTCACCAATAGAGGGCAGTAGAAGGGATGATGTGACACTTCTGAACTTTAAGTCTTAAGACGGCCTGGCTGCCTCTGCTTTCCAGCTCTTGGAAGCGCTGAGCTGCAAATGAGAGGTCTAGATACCCTGCTATGGAGGCCACAGGAGAAGGGGAGATCTAGAGGACTGCACACAGAGAAAGAAGCCCAGCCATTCAGTTTCTGCCAATGTGATGACCACATGAGCAACCATCAGCAAGGCCAACAGAAGAAGAGCTCAACTGAGCTCCGCTCAGATGGAAGAATGGCTGGGAGTAGGACGGGGTTGTTTAAGCCACGAAAGTTGTGGGGTGATTTGTCAGCAACATCTGACAACCCAAAACACTGCTTATCCATAGATGCCTTTTCCTAAACACAAGACAATTTACTCAAATGAAAGGAAACGTGGCAAACATTTTCCCACCACAACTGTCTCAGTCAATAGCAGATGACCCCAATTACCATTCAGCTAAGAAGAAAACACACCTCTTTATCCTAATTCATAAAGATTTTTACGATTTTTTTCCCTCTATGATTCTTTAATGGCAATGCAAATATAGTCAGCATCTGACAGTCTCAGACCCTGGCTTAATTATCATTTAGCCAAAAAAAGAAGCCATCAAAATCAATTATCCACTACTGGATAAGTGATAGTAAATGAGATTGTTCTCACTTCTCCAGGATGTTGTTACTTAATTTTCCCAAATCACTTTTTATAAGTGCCCTATCATCTCCCACTAAGAGAAAAAAAATTAAATTGGTTACGGTTATAAAAAGAAAAAAAAAAAAAAACTGCCCATACTTAGAATTTGAATCCTCATAATCTGTAAAACACAGAGTACAATTTAACTGCTTCCTCAATTTAAAACAAAATTCTATAAAATATATAACATTGTCTACATTGTAGAGATGATTTCTTCTTATCTGAGGAAATGAATAATTGGAAATCAGGTATTGAGTTAAAATACAGCAATCTTTAAATGGTTTCAAATTTTGCTTATTAAAAGATAGTCTATCACAATGCAAGCCTTCCGAATCCAAATTCATTCTTCACATAAACTTTCTTGCATCTGTTCTTGATCTTTTTAGGGAAAAGGGTGAAAGTCCATTATCTGGGGGAAGAAATAAAGTTAAAATTTTTAAGAAGCATACATCTAAAAGCTTGACAAACTCTTAAATAATTTTCAAGTAGATTTAAAGGTTTTAAATATACTAACCATTGAAGTGAGAATTTCTACATGATATATTGACACTATGAATACTGACATGAGAATTTCTACATGATATACGGACACTTACTAAAACATACATCATATATTTCGTCACAATCTGAAAAGGTAATTGACAGGAAGGAGACATAAATTCCCAGCAGAGCTGAAAGGGATATCAAAGGCCGGGGGCGTCTATTTGTCACACAGCTGGTCAAAGCCCAACTTTAACAAGAAACTCAGGCTTTTTTTATTTTTGTGAGACAGAGCCTCAAGCTGTTCCCCTGGGTAGAGTACTGTGGCATCACAGCTCACAGCAACCTCCAACTCCTGGGCTCAAGCGAGTCTCCTGCCTCAGCCTCCCAAGTAGCTGGGATCACAGGCGCCCGCCACAACGCCCGGCTGAAACTCAGGCTTTCTAACTCTGCACCACCTAGTGCTGTGTCCCAAAACTTCCAGATCCCTATAGGTCATCCCCCAGCACAGCTTGGGTTAACCAGCTCTAATAAAAAGTGTAACAACAGTAATACCTGCTCTTCACCACCAACATCAACCATTTCTCTGGAATAAGGACTAGCCTTGTCCCTTGCAGAATTAATTCTGCATTTGGTTTCAATGCTTAGTGAACTCTAGACTAAATCCACCTTGGAAAAAGTACCACAGGAGGAGGACAAAGGAGGCCAGTTTATAAAACTCCAGTATTCTTTGCTGAAACATTTATAAATGTTTTGCCTACTTAAAATTGCCACAAATTACATATAAACAATTAACTGGTAGAGCACTTGTATTTAAATACCTATTTCTGTGCTGAAGTTTTGGCAGTTCTTCTCATCTGAAGCTTTTCTGCTGCTGCATCAGGCCCACGTTTTCATAGACTCTAGCATTATCTTCCCTCATTCTGAAGAGAAAAGAAAATGAAAAACATTGACAAAGATGCAGACAATGCAGCTTAAACTTATCACATGCGATATTTCTGAAGTGCACACTACATTCTTTCAGACACAGTTCCTGTGCCCAGGAGCTGAAATTCTCAACAGGGATGTAAGACATACATATACAACAATATAACTCCAAAGTTAAAAGTGAAATAACAGCCTTGATTCCCCGTGCTGTCTGGGTTTGAAGGAAAGCAGGTTGTTTTAAGGAGACCTATATACGGTCAGGCATATGAATTACACCATGAAAGAGGGTGGCACACATACATACGGAAAGAAATTACTGTAGAACCTCCATAGCTGACCATCTTCCTGCATTGACCACCTCCTTAAGTTGACCTAATTTTCATAGACCAGACGTATATCACTTGTACGTATTAGTACAGTCAACCTAGTTCCCTATGGTAACCAGTTTGTTACAGTCCATTAGATAGTCAACTTACAGAGGTTCTACCGTACATTAATTTCCAGCAGAGGGATCTGAACAGGCAAAAGCTCCAAGAAAGGAAAGCACAGGAGCAGTGAGGAAGTGATTAGAGATCCACTTAGCCTCGGCTCAGATTACGTGAGGGAACAGGTGGTTTAGGGCCCAGGATGGAGGGCCACATCATTAAGGCACCCAGACTCCTTTCTGCTGAGCAGGGAGTGGTGATCAGAGCCATCTAGGAGAGCAAGGAATCCAGCAGCTGTAGGTGCCAGGTTAAGAGGGGCTCTGGTAAGAAAGAGGCTACCCTGTATCTGTACCCTCCAAGTGGGACAAGGGGAATGAGAGGCTGAGAGGCCAAGAGCCCGTTAGTCACAGGTATGTCATTGGTACTAAGGGAATCATGACAGCTGACTCTGTTGTGCCAACATGATGGGAAAGCTTCCTGGCAAGGATGAGAGCCCTGACATTCTGTCCACTGCAAATTATTGCAGACAGCAATTTAAAATATCAACTTTCTGGCTTGGCGCCTGTGGCTCAAGCGGCTAAGGCACCAGCCACATACACTGGGCTGGCAGGTTCGAATCCAGCCTGGGCCTACCAAACAACAACAACGGCTGCAACCAAAAAATAGCCAGGCGTTGTGGTGGGAGCCTGTAGTCCCAGCTACTTGGGAGGCAGAGGCAGAATTGCTTGAGCCCAGGAGTTGGAGGTTGCTATGAGCTGTAATACTACAGCACTCTACCCAGGGTGACAGCTTGAAGCTCTGTCTCAAAATAAATAAATCAATAAATAAATAATTAAAATATCAACTTTCCCAGTCAGCCTACTGGAAAAGAAAAAAGTAGGCAAAAAGAAGAGGCAACTTAGAGGAGAGAAGACTTCTGCCATATAATTTCCTTTCAGTGTTAAATAGAAAGCAAATAAATGTTAATACAAGCCTCATGTATGCTACCTAAAACATTTGTATAGAACAGTAAAGTCAGCAGGGGTTTAAAAACCTACATCAAAAGCAAATAGAGATAAGATTCTTAGAGGAAAATAAAAAGTAAATGTTAGACTAGAGAGTGCCTTTAGAATATGTGGAAGAAGAATAACAACATTGCTATTCAGACACAGCATAATCATTTTAAGAAATGTTCTCCTATCGTGTTTTATTTTAAACAAGAAGTCAGCAAAATTTTTCTGGAAAGCACCAGAAAGTAAGTATTTTAGGCTCTGCATGCCATATTGGTCTCTGTCATACGTTATTCTTTGGGTTTTGTTTCCTTGTTGATTTTTATGTTTTGTTTTACAACCAATGTTTAAAAACCATACACAATAATAAGTCATTCCAGCTTAAGCAACATAATGAGACCCTGTCTCCATAACAAATTTTTAAAAATTAGCCCGGCATAGTGGTGCAGGCCTATGGTCCTAGGTATTTCGGAGGCAGAGGCAGGAGGATCACTTGAACCTAGGAGTTTGAGGCTGCAGTGAGCTGTGATGACACCACTGCACTCTAATCCAGATGACAGAATGAGACCGTATACCCCAAAACAAAAACAAAAACAGGCCATGGCCCAGATATGACCTGTGAGCTGCAGTTTGCTAACCCCTGGTTTAAACATCCAAGGCAGATTTCTGTTGAGTGGTAGAAAATTATCAGATCACAGTTGTATTGACACATTAACGGTCAATTTATTTACTTTTATTTGGCAAAAAATCTTATCACATCATAAGAAATGTGACTTCTCCTGCAATAATCTCCATCCCATCAAGAGAAAAATTAGGTTCCTCTTGAAGAACCACTACTTGATACACACAATTCCATATAATCCTAGCTAGCATAGCAATCAGCCTTCACTTTAGGAAAATTAAATTTTAGTTCAGATACCATCAACACAACCCACAGAAACTGCCAGTCACTGATGCGTGAGTCGCCAGGCAACAGTAATGTGTACCAGTGGAAGGCATGTGCTGCAAAGATTTGTTTTATGTTTTTGTTTGTTTTTAAAGCCTTTTTATAGCACTGTGTTCAGGTAAAAAGAATTTCCTTTATCACTACTTACTCTGCACAGGGCGGCGTTGGGGTACAAGGCGGGAGGGGGCTCTGATCTCCACTGGTCTGATCCGCTAGAGAATACTTAATATTTGTATATTCGTGCCCTTTCCTCTTGCTTTTCTGAAAGGTGGAAGAGCGTACATATGAGGGACTATGGTTTTGGTTTTTTTTAAGGAATAAAGAAGAAAAAAAAAAGGTATTTCGCCAAAAGAGAAAAAGAAACAGACAGGTTACATTCTTGAAAATACTGATATGTTGACCAAACTATTAGGGAAGTCACCCCCCTCCACGTAAATATACCATATGGATAAAAAATACTTTTGGACCATATAATTCAAAAGCACAGAAAGTCACGCATTATTGACTTACTGTACTGAACTACATGTACCTGTTTCTGAGCTAAGAGGAAATTCACACCATCTCTGCCACATTGGCATCTAATCATGTCATGGTTCATGTGCAACACATTTAATGATTTTCAAGGAAACACTCGGGAAAAAAACTCCAGAAGGAAATTCATTCTAAGTAGAAATGGCACCCAGGAATGAAAGGCAGTAATGCGGTTGCCCCAAACAATAATGTGCTTTGTCATATCTCCTTTAACCCCTGGAAAAGACTCCAGCATCGTCAAAATTTTGTTTTTGGCTCTAATGGTATACGAGCAGTAGAGAGAAAGGCAAAGAAAACCAGTACGAACGTGATCTCCTCTCAGATGTGGAGTGAACTGTATTTGGGAAGACTTCTAGCTAGATGGGTTATCACCTGGCTTCATTATAGGATTTCTCAGAAAAGGGCAAATAGTGAATACTGACGCTCCCGTGGGAACAGCCATGCACCTATGGTGAGAGGGTAGACTGGTAACCCTCATGCTAGTGCACAACTAGAGGCAGTAGTACTAACCAGTTAGTATCTAGTAAAAATAAAAACGCAACCCTGAATGCCTACTTCCTGCACATATGCCTAAGAGCTGTACAAGGATGGCCTGGGACGTGCTATTCTTAACGTCCACCGATACAAGGGAATGTGACCTGGTCACATCATGAAATAACAGACAGCAGTCAGGGGATAGGCAACAACAACAAAGTATGTGTGTACCCAAACAGATTTCCTAAATGATGTCGAGTGGAAAAACATAAGCTGCAGAACAATACAACAGGGTGATACCATCTGGGTAAATATTCTAAGCATAGAAAACAATCCTACATATTCTTTACAGATACAGTTGTGTTTTGAAATATAAAAAGAGACGGCAAGACTAGTGCTTACTTTGGGGTTCCAGGGTAGAGAGGAGGAATAGCTCTGAGGGCAGAGGTCAAGAAAAACCTCAGCTGTACCTATGGCACTTGGCTTCTTTTATGAAAAAGGAAAAAGACTTGAAAGAAATGTGACAAAACAAAACGGTCAATTATAGGTGGTGGTATCGTGTTTTAAAATTTCTTTTCTAAATAAAACGTAAACCATAAAAGAAACTGAAATCCGTTAATGAGGTAGCTTTTTCCTTTCCTTACTCAAAACCCCCCATCCCCCCTCCCTACTTAATACTTCCTTGAAAATCAACATCACTATTTCTACACGAAGTCCTTACAAAAGGATTTTCTAATGAGAAGCAATACACACAGCCCAGGAATTATCTCAATCAATCAGAGGAGCCCAAGGAAAAGCATTAAAATGTTGGAGCTTTTTAGCTTATGTAGGAAGAGCAAGAAATAAAACCAGTGTACAAATCAGATGAGCTTGTCTCTTAGGACCGTGACAGTACAGTGTCTTATAGATCAAGAAAAATTCTCAGGGGATAAGGGTTGTTTTGTTTTGATTTGTTGCTCCGGGGGGTGGGGGGTGAACAGTAATGTGTTTCTAAGGCCTAGAAAATAATCTGAAGTTTATCTGTCTCCACCCAGATTCAATGACATAGCAAGGTCAGTCACCTTCTGCAATGTTTATAATAAATCTACGGCTCTGCCAACTGACACGTAGCCAAGGTTCAGACGAGGGATCAGCCACGAGGCTCCCAAATCACCTGGTATTAAATTTATCTTTCCATATGAAATAACTCCAATTACACTTTCAAATCCCAAATTATAAAAAAGTCTAAAAGCAGGAAGAGAGGGGTAAAATGAAAATGTTCTCGTCTAGGTTACAGCAGAGCAAAAAGACTACTTGTCCTGTACACTCTGGATTCCAATATGAAGACCACAAACACCTTGATTCCGTCCACATCTAATCATGAGATCCTGCTGGTTCTACTTTGCTTCATGCTCAGGCAGCCCCACCCCACCCCATGTGAACCCTCGGCAAGTCTCACCCCACTGCTGTGACGGCTCCTCAGAGGCTCTGCAGTCACTGCTCGAGGCTGCTGCCCACCCATGCTTTACCCTCTTCACCAGAGTCCTCTTTTTTTTTTTTTTTTTTTTTTTTGAGACAGAGCCTCAAGCTGTCCCCCT